TTTGGCCCAGCTGCCCGGTGCCCGCCCAGGGAGCTGCCCAGAGCCGCCTCCGGCCACACTCCGGTGCAGCAGACCAGGCCGGTGAGCGGGGCTTCCGGGGACGTTCTCATGGCTGCTTCCCTGCTTCACGGGACCCTACAGGTTTCGTGGGTTTGGGGGGTGCCACCGTGTCACCGTGACGCAGGGTGACCAAAGCCGTCCAGTGACTCTTGGGGCTGCACTGCGGGGTGGCTGGACCGTCACCCCTCTCGTGGCAGCGGGAGATCCCTGCACAGACAAGGGAGTCGGTTGAGTGACGTCTCCCTCGCCCTGCAGGAAGAGCCATGTCCCAAGCGAGGGCCCCTGAGCGCTCCGCACGGAAGGCCAAGGAGAAGAAAAGCACTTTCGGGGGCATTGAAGTGACGGAGGCTCTCCACTGGCATGGCTGGGAGCTGGGAAAGGAGTTTCCCAAACATTTGTCCTTGAAAAACGTTCATATGAAAACCCAGAAGCTGAGTTACAGGTAGGTGGGGGCCTCCTCCTCTCCCCTCACTAGCGGGATCAGTCCCTCTCCATCCCTCCACCCATGCTGATACCCTACCTGACCCTTGCATGGCACCCTCCTGCCCCTTCTCTTTCCTGCTAGCTCTGGGCTGGAGTGTGCGCTTGGAATCACAGGGCATCCTGCTCTGCAATATGCCCTCTTGGGTACAGAAAGCTTGTCCCTGGCAATAGTTTGTCAAGCGCTGTGGCTTGTTTCTTTGAGATAATACGTCTGTCCTTGAGCCGTGTCAAACCCCGATGAGAATCAGCGTCTAGTGGGAGAGAATCCAGGCAGGATGCGTACTGGTGTGGCCGGGAAGCAGTGCATCTGATAGGCCCCTGTTCTGCAGGGCTTCTCACACATCTCGTGACCACCTCAGCTCCAACTGTCACTGGTCTGCCCATTGCAGAGTTGCCTGGTGGGGGTGGGGGTGGGGCCACGTAACACTATTGTTCAGGGAAAGAAAGGGGTCGAGGGTTGTGATACTGTAGTTGATTAACCAATAAGCAAAAGCTCGTGGGTTAATGCTATAGGTTGCACACATCCCCCACCTTGCTAGTAAATTTTTTAACAGGCTGCTCAGCAGCCCAGCTCAGTCCTGGCTCATGCTGGGTCCGGGAGCTCAGCCCTCTGCCCCCCTGGACAGGGGCTGCTACCACCCTGCACTGCTGCTTCTGTATCAGACGCAGCACCACAGGTCTCCAAGGGGAGCTGGTTTTTAAACTGGCTCCCCTCTTGGACCAGAGCCTGCCTGGCACCCTGCGCTGCTGCCACCTCTGATACAGAGGCAGCAGCACGGAGTTGCAGGGGGCTTCCACTGGCTGCCGGCCCCACCCCGGGGACTATAGAATAGTCGAGTGACCAATAAGAATTCATGAGGTTACTCAACTATTCAGCTAACCGATATTTAACATCCCTATTGGGATGCCTTGTGACATGGTCATCGCACCGTCTGCCCTGGTGCTCTGGGCAGTGTGATCAAGGGGCATGGAGCAGCGCAAGGCGGGGAGGGGGCAGAGGTCCTGGGGAAGTGTTCAAGGGGTGGGGAGCAGGAGGCCCTCAGGCGGGGAGCAGGGAGGGAGTTGGATGGGGCTGGGGGCCGGGCTGTGCAGTGCTGTTTGGGAAGGCACAGGCTCCCCCACCCTTCCCCACCCAGCCCCCCCTAAACTTTC